CAAGAACTCAACGACAGAGCTAACACCGCGTGCGCTCACAACACTGTCCTTGTTCCGGGCCAGCTCCCGCACCCAGACGACGCACGTGGAGGTCGCGCCTCACAGAACGCCAAAGAATTGCTTTAGACTCCAACCCAATTCTACATTAAGAAGCACACGAATTCCAAATGAGCTCCAATGCAAACCGAGAAGCGATCTGTGGCTCCTTTGCAGACTTCTTGGAAACGTTCCACGACTTTCGAGATGTTGTATTTGCCTTCAGCAAAACGCTTGACCACAACCAAATATGGAGCTTTGTCCGTCCATTTCTTGTAGTGGTCCGTCGTCACCTGCAAGTGACTCGCGTAGCTTTGCAAAGTCGAGGAATCCACTGGAGGACAAGCCTTTTCTGCAAGACCCCCTGTTATCTTGTGTCCGCCATTCATCTGCTCAAAGCGGAGCTTTGTTTCCCGCTTCCGGATCAAGCAGATTACAGAGAAGTAAAAACCACTCTGGGACAACTCCCAAGACACTCCTGAGAGCAGCTTTATGGTCTCTGTATCTGAGTCGGTCATATCGTGCTCATCCAGTGCATCAAGCACTAAGACGGCCTTGCTGAAATCCTTCTTCTTCAGCCTCTCCAAGGCTCCAGTGAGGTGATTCGACAGCTGGTTTGCTGTGCTGTGTAGTGTCGTAGCCACCTCCGCGTCCAGCTTTCCAGGCGTTCTGAAGGTTACAAAAGCTCCAGGAACAGCTTGCTGTTGAAGCTCTTGAAGTACCGCTGCTGCAACTGTGGATTTCCCCATGCCGGCCTCAGCATAGAAGGCGTGGACACCTGGAAGGTCTGCGGTCTCGCGCATCAGCTTGTGCTGTACAGTATTCTCTTCGTAATGTTCATACAGCTCCGGCACGCTTCGGCCATATTGCAAAGTAGCCGCGACCAACGGAATGTTTTCTGCCAAGAGGCACTGACGAGCCATAATTTCTAAAGCCGGCCCAAGCCCAACATGTTGGCGCCAATCGTGTACGAGATTGAAGCAGTTGTAGACATGCGCTGGAGCCCACCCTGCTACAAGCCATCCAAACCCAGCCACCAACACTGGCACAATCATCTTGACAACACCGATGAGCTTTGCGCGATTCCACAATTCCAAAGTTGGCGTAGCCGGGGTGGGCGTCACCGGCAAAGCAACAGCGGGAGGAGTCATCAAAGCTTTCGCTTTAGCTTTTGGAGTTCCTTTAGCTTTTGCACGATTCACCATAGCTCCGCCACCAGACTTGTGAGGCGATGTCCGAACGGCGATCTAAAGGGCATGTCTACCAATTCACTGGATGTACGTCGGTTCCTGCAATTGGTACATAGATATGCATAGTCTGACTGTCCAACTATGTTCAATACAATTGCCTCTCGTCAGCAATTTGATTCAAGCGTGCGACAGTTGTATCATTGCCTGGCCTGCAAACAACGCAAAGTCAAACTCACAAGTTGATCATTGATGAGCATTTGACCTCAAGGACTTCTGTGCGGATCTTGTGGCAAGAAAAGCAGCACAAACGATTAGCGCAATGTCTGAGCCCGAGTGTGCATCGGCTTGGCACGCCTTTTCATGGAAGCTATCTGAACAAGTTTGCAAAGTTGGCCTCGGCAAAAACCGGCGACATCCGTCCAGAACTCTGCACACATGGGCACAAATCTGTCGCGGGTTTTGGAGAAATCTAGCACGGGTGTGAAAGACGTTGCAGAGATTTCGGGTTTTGCCATGGCCCGCACCAACGGTTTCACAGGTCGCTAATTTACTTTGTGGAACTATGTGGCATCAGTGCGCCTTTCATTGCTCAGGATGCACGCTGCCACGCCTNNGGCCCTTCGCGCCGCAAGCCTGCACTTGCGAACTGTGGCGAGGAGCGGAGCCAGAACCAGTCCAAAAATGTTCAACAATCCCGGCTATGCCTTGACCGGGGACGATGCCCGCCTGCCACCCCCGTCAAACCCAGTGTAAGACCGCTCAAAAACCCCGCCCAAGACTGACCGGTGCGGCGACGACGCACTCGGACGCTCGATGGCGCACTCGGCTCCGACGATGACTTCGACGGACGACGCTCGGCTCGGACGACGCTGCGACGACGGTGACAGCAAGTTTGAAGGCACGGCCCATTGCGAGAGATGGGGTGCCACGGGGTTCGGGCGGCCAAGCATTCGCGGTTAGGGTGCCCTACATAGACAGGACGCACACCCCGAAAAGCG